CTCCAGCTGGTCTCCAACTCCTGAACTCAAGCAATTCACCTGCCTCAGCCTCCTAAGTGCTAGGATTACAGGCAGAGCCAGTGCACCTGGCCAACACATCTTTTTTAAAAAAGACTTTTATAAAGGCCTTAAGCAATCCTCCCACCTTGGCCTCCCAAAGTGCTGGGATTACAGGTGTGAGCAACCATTTCCAGCAAGTATCTCCTTTTAAAACAAACTCACAATATGAAATACAGAGTATCATAAAGTAAGAAATTCATTATATTAATACACACATATATACATACACTTATGGACTAATCCTAAGAGAGTTTTACTATATAATATAAATACCCAGATTAGACTAAGCTTCTTTAGGGCAGGAATTGTGGTTTTTGCTTCTGTATTTCTTGTGCCTATCCTAATATCTGACATATAGTAAATGCTACATAAATATCTGCTGAACAAATAAATGAACAACGTGTATGGATTCTTAGATACGAGGAAAATATTTTCATTCCAGGAAAACATGGAAATAGTCAAGTCATAACTGTATGTAAAAGAAACATCTGCCAAGTACAGCTATGTAGGAAAGCAAAGTATTACAGAGAGATAATACTGCGCAGAACTGCTAATGTGTGTATCTCGGGTCTGGTCACCATCTTAAAACTTTCTACTCCCAAATCTTGATTTTGACTATTGAGAGAGAATTTCTGCCTAGGGGAATGAATCACCAAGTTGATAAATTCAGGTTATAACCCGCATACTATAATATACTCATCAACAAACCTTTATTAATTACACAGCACAGGCTATACACTGCAAATATAAGCAGGGAAGATAATCTTTAGATACTTACAGCCTAGTAAGGGAAACAGTCAGGTAATCCAGAAACTGTAATGAGGACACTGATAGTCACAGGCCCTGTGGCAGTAAAGGAGGAAGAGCCCGTAATCATCTCAGAGCAACCATCAGATTGCTAGAGAGGAGTTAGGAGAAACTGCCTATGTCTGGCTGACTTTTTAGGAATTCTCTCTACAGAGACAACAGAAAAGGGTACAACAGAAAAGGGTACTACAGACTGAAGAAAACAAAAAGCATAAAGGTCGTGAGCTTGCTAAAGTGTGGTCAGTTTGGCATGGCTGGAGAAGCAGCTGTGGGGAAACGGCAGGAGCTGAGAGGAGAGACAGAGCAACATTACACAGGCTTTTTCCACAAAAGCAGAGCTGACGGAGTTCATGGTGGCAAAGGAAGGAGAGCAGAGGCCAACATTGAAAACATGTTTGTAATCTGGTGACTGGATATGGTGACACCTTTCACCAAGGAAGGCAATGATCATTTAACCAATTTTTATTTGGCTTGAGGCAGGAAAACAACAAACTCAATTTTATGTAGTGAACTGGAGATGTTTTGGGTCATCTAGATAAAGGTACTCAGATAAAGCAGTAGTACATATAACTTTGCTCAGAGGAAGAGATCTGGAATAGAACCATGATTATGTGTCTGTAAGGTTAACAGTGTATGGTTGGCGCAGTGGTCTTGGGAATTCCAGTACTCTATAGTGGTATGGCTCATATATTTCTTACGTGTGTTATTCACGTGTGTTTGACATTTCTTAAAATCAGAATAATCTCTTTTCCTAGTGTGTAATTCTCTATGATGTCTATTCCTTGGTTCTTGTTACAATGTGTATGCAGGAAGAGTTGAGTAAGTGGTCATCAGGTGGTTAAAATGGAAGACGAAGGCAACTGCATTAACGTGAACATGAGGAATGGAGTTCGTATTCTGACAAAAACAAATTCCAAAATATACCAAAGGAATTCATCTTGCTTACTCTGGAGTCTGGTGTGTTCTTCTCTGTGGAAGAAATATCTGAATATGTAAAAAAAAAAAACAAAACACCGAGATGAAAAGGTGTTGACAACATACTGACTGAATCAGTTACTATAAGTGGGTGCATAAAACATTAGAGAGATTTTTTTTTTTTTTTTAAATTTTTTAGAGATAGAGTCTCACTTTACTGCCTTTGGTAGAGTGCCATGGCGTCACAGCTCACAACAACCTCCAACTCCTGGGTTTAGGTGATTCTCTTGGCTCAGGCTCCCGAGTAGCTGGGACTACAGGCGCCCACCACAATGCCCGGCTATTTTTTTGTTGCAGTTTGGCCGGGGCCAGGTTTGAACCCACCACCCTCAGTATATGGGGCCGGCGCTCTACTCACTGAGCCACAGGCGCCGCCCACCATTAGAGAGATGTTTATGCAAGTGTCTGTGCAAACAAACTGAAAACTGAAGGGTTACAAGCCAGTAATGTGAAACATACGTGACATAAATCAATAATCATATTTAGAGCTCTAAATCATGACATTTATGGAAGATCAACAGGATATTATATTATAAAAATATAAAATTATGTTCTCTGCCGAGGAGGCTTTTCAACAGCTGAAGACTTGGATCTAACAGGAGAACCTGAAGTCACCACTGCACAGATGCACTCAGCTATAATAAATCAGGTTTAGTAGATGCAGAAACAAAAATATTGGCAAGCAGGTTGTGTATTAGGAGGAAATAGTAGAAGCTGAAGTTTAAAGTGCACAAAGGGGAGGGAGGTTTGAGAAGAAAAAAGATAAAGAGTGAATAATCAAAGAAAACTATTACAGTAAGGAATCAATTTTTATATTTCTTTCACTTGTCCTTAGCCTTCTTATTGTGGAAACCTCTTTCTTAATGATCAAATACAATGTTAAATATATTCAATTCTTTTCTACCTGTTTCCATGCTGGGAATGATTTGTTTTTGAAGAAGTCGGCAACTCTTGGAAATCGCTGAATGAGTCATCAAGGGATCCTGACTTAGAAGCATCTTGAAAATCCTGGAAGTCATCTTCTTCTGGCTTTACCACCTAGGTTTATCAAATGTATTTATAGTAAAAGCATCAAACTGATAAAATAAGTAAACAACAAATCTTCAACTGTCAATTCAAAGACTGCCTTTAAATTTCTCAATTTGTACCTGAGTACAAATATCTAATTTTAGAAGAACACACTTAGATATAACATCAACTCAACTGCTTAAGGTAGGATTCCTCTTTTGTTATTATTATTTATTTGTTTTTTTCTTAGGATATAAAAATACGTTGATTTTATATTAGAGAGAGGGAAGAGGTCATGAGAAAGACAGAGAAGAGACCTCTTTTGTATTTTTAAATACCCTCTGGTTCTGGTTCAAATAGCATAAGACCAGTTTATTTTTCAAGCTGTCTCCCTGGGTAGAGTGCTGTGGCATCATAGCTCATAGCAACTTCCAACTCCTGGGCTCAAGCGATTTTTCTGCCTCACCTCGCCTCCCAACTACAGGCGCCCGCCACAACACCCGGCTATTCTTCGGTTGCAGCTGTCAATGTTGTTTGGCGGGCCCGGGCTGGATTCAAACCCACCAGCTCAGGTGTAAGCGGCTGGCGCCTTAGCTGCTTGAGCCCCAGGCACCGAGCCACAAGACCAGTTTAAAGAGCTAATCCAAAAACAGCTGAATGATGTGCATTAGGTTACTGAGAGCGTGGCATCTTTAAAAAACATTTTATGCATGTCTGTAAATTACAAAGGTGACAGAAGCTCATTACAGTCAATCACCTACATGTACAAAGTGAACAGTGAACACTGACTCCTTACCCTACACTCCAGAAGTTGAGTATTGTTACCAATTCGTTTGTCTTTTTTTTTTTTTTTTTTTT